AGGCAGCCAAAGGTGGCTGCAGTCTCTTCGCTAACAGCAGGAGTAGCGGTCACTTTGCAAACAGCAGGAGAGTTTTGCTCATGTGAAGCTGTACAATGAGGCACACTGACGTTTTGCTCTGCATTCTTTTGGTTTGGAAATGGGAACACATTTGAGTAATGGCTAAACACACCAAGGGATCAGTTTTAGCTGTTGTCAGAGAGCCGCGGCCAACTGTTTGTTCGGTAAATATGCTGCATGCAATCTATTCCAAAGAGAAATAGATTTTTAATTGATTTTCTACAATTTGACAGGCATCAGACAAAACCAGTAATTAGATCTATGAAGTAAAATGTCTGATGGCATATGGCCTTCTAACCGCATTAGTGAGGTTAGGCTGGGAGCCAGGTTTTGTCTGTAGTGTGTGAATACCGTGAGGATGATAAATCCAGTTTTGCAGCTTAAATTTAACGACGCAAATAYGATGCTGTTCACCATCTCCCCAAGTGTTTATTTAGTGAAGCCTAAATGCTGCAGACACCCCATATGTATGATAGCATCTAAAATCACAATCGAAGCCCACTGTGGTGCTTCATGCAACACTTGCTGCTAAGTAATTCCTTCACTTCCTTCTTCTGAAAGGCTTTGCTGTCTAAAAAGAAAATAGAAAATGCTGAGAACGATTATTATCTTAAAACAGCCTGAGCTCAGTAAACCTCAGCTGCAATCCATATGTAGTGTCTATAGGTTTGCTTTTTTAATCCTTTTATTCTTTTCAAATGTCTTGATATTACAAGGAGTGTTACTAAAAGCCCCATTTTCCAGAACTGTATTTTTTTAGCCTCTTAAAGTAATGCCAAGCAGATTATTACCGTGACGCTGCATGTGCCACTTACTACCACGATTTACTCTAGATACTRAAATCTTAGGTGTTACAAAGCCTGAGTAATTTTGTAGGTGTAAAGTGCAACCTTCTGCTGTTCAGGTGACTGATACAGGTAGGTTGGTGCAAAATCTCAGATGTTTTACTCCATAATATTGTAGTGTCAGCATTTCAGAGACACTGCTACACAGTTTCATCAGAATTATGAGATATGTATTGCATTATATGTGACTACCCAACTGGCTCATTATAGAAGGGATAGGGCAAGAGAAATCCGTCATCTTAATTAGAAAGGGACTTWGCTGTTTCGTACACTGAAGAGGTCAGTGTATATATTCAGAAAATGAAACTAAAATGTTGATGTAAAAGATCCCTAAATTTGATACTTTCTATGTTCATACCCTGAGGGGAAAAATAATGGGAGAAGAGAAAAGAAATTACTGATCAGTAGAAGCCACTCATAGTTACTATATCGAATATTAAAATATTTGTATTTTTTTTTATTACTGAATCTATATTTAATGCCTGTAGCTAGAAGGTAGTACCTAGTCATTAGGATTTCATGCACATATTTGTTGCTACCATGTATCACTACAGTCAATATTTGCAGCATGTTTTGGCTGTTGAACTAAGTGTCTTTCCTGAGAATTCCAAATAGGGGAATATGCTTCAGCTTTTCCCCATTTATTTCAGAGCATTTGTAGAGGAAGCAGCCATAAGAATCGGAGCTGTGGTGTAGAGGAACTGCAAGTAGCTGCAAGAAAGCAAGACTAGAAGACGGTAGAGAAAAACAAAAAGCTTCAATTTTTTTTAACCTGATATGTTAAAGCAAATAGTTTGGAAAGAGGTTTTTGAGCTGTATAGGGGAAGACTATAGACCTGCATATGTGCAAGGAAGGAACACTGTAGAGCAGCTGTACCAAATGATCCAAAAGGGAATCTGTTTTTTTTTCCAAGGAATCTCTGTCAGAAGTTGTGCTTTGTATAAAACAGATTTCCATGGGTCTTGACAGGAGTCAAGACAGTTAGAACCACAGGGGCTGAGCAGCCCCYGCTAATTTGAGAGTTAGGTAAGAGCTTCATTTTGCCTTTTGAGGATAAACTATATACTGTTAATGTCCAATCGAGCACCGAGACAGAGGGGTTTGGAGAAGTACCTCYGGGTGGCCTAACCCCTCCTCAGTGGCTATTTCCAGTCCTGCTTCATTAAAAGYGCACTCTGATTTCCACCGATTGTGACTCATCAATGGACTGTCCCGCCATTTTGCACTGCCCCCATCCCTTCCTCCTGGGCGTCGCCGCGGGCACAGGGCACAAACGTCTCCCCGCGACGTGGACGATGTGCGCGGGGAAGCCCGCGGCGGCAGTGGCCCTGGAGACCGGGAGCCGGGAAGGCGGCCGAGCGCCGGGCGCCATCGCTCCGAGCCAGGCCCGCCTGGCACGTGCTGCCCGTGCGTGGCCTCCAATGGCCTCATTCTCCTCTCGCACAAGCATGCAGTCGTGTCGAGCCTGGTGCGACGTGTGCTGCTGCTGCTGCTGCTGCTGCTGCTGCGCTTAGGCTTGAAACTAGCCCGTTTCACCAGAGGGGTTTTGGAAGCACCCACAGCCGCCCTCTTTGCTGGGGCACTGCAGGAGGGGTGGCTCTTGGGATCAAGTGTTACGTAAGCTGCTCGAAGCAAATCTTTATCTAGTAAGGAGAAATGAAAAAAGGGAATCGGGATCGTAGGCACTGTACCATAACAGGCTGTTTCTTTATCATGAGAACTCAAAATATTTGATTCTAAATGAACAAGCACATTCACATAACCTGTTCTGGGTGCTCTTGAGGCATTATTGAAATCAACTGTTTCTCAAAATGCATATGAAGCCTGGGATTAATTAGCTCAAGTATGAGCTATATTTCCACGCTATATGTTTTTAAAATCTGGAGACTTAGTGCAGAAGAATTGGAGGAAAACTGCAATGCATGCTTTCTTTACTAAAGTACAGCACACACAAAAGATTTATACTTTATAGCTCACTGCCTGTGCATTAGGAGAAGCTACTTTTGTGGCCCGAATACCCTTCTTTGTTGCTTGCGAATAACTGTATTCAGTGACACAAAGATCCACTGTTGTGAAAAATATTAGTATGCAGATGCTCTGGTGTTTTGTTAATGCATTTAATTAAACACAATAGATCTTTTGTTTTGCTTTTTTTCTTTTCTTCTTGAATGCATTTCTGTTATGGTATAGAACCTAGGCTTATAGCTTCTGTATAAAAGTGTTTTGCAGTTTCAGAAAGTGCCATATATCAGTGATACTTTCTATTTCATTCTATCACGAAGAACATTTGAGGGATTTAATACTTTCTAGTCAGTGTAAAAGCACTGTATTTTGGGTGGCTTTTTGTTKGTTTTTTTTTCTTTCTGTCTCCCCAGGAAAACCCAAAATCCCGAAGTTCTCAGCAAATGCTTTCATTTCCCTAATTGATGTGCTCTGAAGTGACAATAAGCAGGGTTAAGTAGAATTGAATGATTCAGGAATATTTAGACTTTTTAATCAAAGAGGATTTTCTTGACATTCTGTAACATCAACTAGTGTTTGAGGCTGCACAACTGAATTGTATATTGTCTTTTTATATGAAAAGCTGTGTGGAATTGTAGCTGGCTGTCAGATTACAACAAACTRTAACTAGACAAACACTAGGTATATATCTGCAGAAGCCATCATTACTGCTCAAGACTGATGATAGTCTTGTGGGGCTATCCATAATATTATTTCAGAATAATTCTGAGCCTGAATGGGAAAAGGCTTCTTCAGTGCTTTGCATGGATGGAAAAAGCAGTACAAAATAATAGCAATAAAGTCAAAAACTGCTTAGGTGAATCAACATAGTGCTTGAGCCCCAAGTCTTTCAAAAACATAACAGTATTTACCAGGTTGTACTCTCTCACAGCAACAGGGGACAAATCAAATTGAAGGTAACATATGACTGACTGCTTCATCCCTGTAAGATCAAGCCCTGTGAACCCTAAAACCCTCTATATCTTGTCTGAGGTGGTGTGAGAGGTGYCTAATTTGATGTTCGCTTTTCAAGCAAGAGCTTTTGTGGTGTTCCTTGTATGTGAGACATCTTCTTTAGAGGGTACTATTTCCCTTAGACTTGCTCATACACGTAGAGAGAGTTGCCTACTGCTTACAGAAGGAGCTATTATATGCTTAGGTTTAAATGAGCCATAACTCTATTTTTGAGTAGAAAAAAAATGAAGAACTTGCATTCTGCATGAGAACAAAAATTAGAAAAGTCAACAAACACGTTGCTTGCACCAGCAAGGTCTGCGTTAGTGCCTTTCTTGGCTGAGTGCTCCTCTGTTTCTGAGCTTTTACCCTTCTCCCAAGGACTGCATGATAAATCAGAGAGTTTGGCACTAGTCTTCAGGATCAGCACTAGGGCACTGGACGCAGCATTCAGAGGTCATCCATGAGCAAAAATTCTGTGTGAGGCCAGGCAGAGATTTCAGTTGTTGTTCTCTAATTTATTTTTATTTATTTAWTTATATATTTTAAGCGAGGACAATATAAGTAGTTTAAAAAACTGCYCTGAAACCTTTTTTGACTCGCGATTCAAGCTAGCAGGAGGAATTCTGGTTTGGGCCAAAACACTCAGGTACAAAAACTCCAATGTTAGAGAGAAAGCGTGCGATTGAAGGGCACAGTCCCTCAGCATTTGGGGATTTTTTTGATTTTTTTTTTCCTTCTCTGTTTTGAAGGGGGCGGAGGGAAGGCCCGTTAGGAGTCCCCCCGCTTTCAAGGGAAAGTACTRGTGTTTTAGTTGCCCACACATGTAACTGGAAGCCTCATCATCAGGGCACCTCCCACAGAAATACAGGGAATCTTAACTGTCACCCGATGAACCATACTGCTTTTTCTACAAAAATTCCCAGTTTTAAAAAGCACCTAGAAGGATGGCGAGGGGCTTTTTGTGTATGAGAGTGTCATGGTCCCAAGATACTCGATGTCCTGGAGGGCGGGCAGGCCGCGGCCTCGCTGGGGCCGCGCATATTGCGGGTTTTGTCCGCGCGCGGGGAGAAAGGCGCTTTGTGGCGGGGGGCTGTTTGTCACAGGCCGCATTCATCGCCTGCCCTTGTTGTTTGCAGGCGAGGCAGATGTGAGCCCGAACAATGGGAGCTCCGCGCCGGGCCCCGCGGGGACGGACCCCCAAGGCACAGCGGAGCCCGAGAATGCCGGGCGYGAGGCCAAGCCAGCTGACACAGCCGGGCGCCCCCACTTGATCCGCCTCTTCTCCCGAGATGCCCCGGGCAGGGAGGACAACACCTTCAAAGATCGGCCCTCCGAGTCAGACGAGCTACAGACCATCGAGGAGGACAGTGCAGCAGCTCCAGAGAACGCGGATTTGATGGCTTCACAAAAGCGCTCCTCTTTCCGGCACGGATCCAAAATGGCCTCTGCGAGCACCACAGACCACGCCAGGCACGGATCGCCCCGGCACAGAGACTCGGGTCTACTTGACTCGTTGGGCAGATTCTTTGGAGGTGAAAGACACGTTCCCCGGAGGGGCTCGGGCAAGGTGAGCTCGGAGGAATAGAGAACTGCACAGCTACCGCAGGCTAAAGTGCCGCTAAAGAGGACGGGGGGGACTAACAACAAGGTGTAACTACTATAAGGCCAGACTTGACTTAGACAGTCAACTGGTACTACTGTGAGTACCAGGAGGGTACTCATAGTTGTGCAATTTAATCTGAAAGCAAACAAACAAAAAAAAAATCATAGATCCGGGAAACACTTTGAGCTATGTTGAGGTAGTAACAAGAAGTATCAGAAATGCTGGTGGCTCTCGCCCCCTTACTGATAGGCTTTTTACTGAACTCTTGATGAGGTGTATGACATGCGGTTGTATGCTGTGCCATTTGGAGAAACTTCAGTCTGCCTTTGTGTGTTGTTGTTAAACATTCGCGAAACTGAACCGAATGAAAGCACTAAACACAAGACAATCTCTAGCTAATTTGGCACTAACTGAGGAACAGGCTTGGTGTTAGAAAAGTGGCCAGATGCTGTGTTCACAGGCTGCTTGCACCAAGAACATGTTTAAAGGGCAGCTGGTAGCGCTGTGGAGTGGATGGATTAGCAGATGCCCTGACTCTCAGGTATACAAGATAGCCCAGCTGTTTTATCCTGGTGGGAAATTGAAAACTTACTTCAAAGCATTTCATATTAGAAATCGCATAGCAAAACTTCATGGATTTAAAAAAAGTGTCGATGAAAGGGCATTTCTTTCATGTTCCAGGATTAACCCGCATCCTTTGGCAAGGATGCAGATATTGTCATCACTTTTGAGCAGTAAAATTTAAAATACGTTCTTTGCAGCCTTTGCCACATAAATGATAAGTTGAGTCTTGTGTTTGTGCCTTTACATGCTACATTAGTGTTCAAATGGAACTACTCCTGTGAGGCTGTAAAAACTTTGTTTTATTTAAAAGTGGTTTGATGTAGCTGCCCAAATTTTGTGTTGCACAAAGTCATGCTCATACTCGCTGGCTGCGCTCGAGCTCTTCAGTGACCTGCACCAGCCTCGGCTGCCTCCCCAAGCAGCTGTGATCCATGATGCTCCCGGGGGCTGGTCAGTCCTTCCCAACTGGGAATCGGATTGGGACGAGGGCATCTCCGGTGCGGCGCGGGGCTGCTGTGCCACAGCTCTGCGCTTAGAAGCACTGCTTGCCATGCCCCAAAGGGTGGTTATAGGACATGGAAGAGCACTGCATGAAAGATGCTCCAGAACCTTCAAACCAGAACTAGAGAAGCATCTCACACTTGCTGTGCAATAATGAGCAAGTGGAAGGGAAATCCTTGKTTCTCCCACTTAGAAACTGGGGGCAACAAACCTTATTACAAACATTGAGCAGTGGCACAGATGCACTGCAAGCGTGTAATGTTCATAGAGTAGTTCAAACGTGCAACACGTAGCTGCTGAGACTTACTGTTGTTGCAAGTATCACAGACTGTTCCTAACAGCCTATAGCCTGGGAGCTGCTGGGCTAGCTCAACTCTTGTTATTTCATTCCTATACTCTGTTCCTTAACAAAAAGTTGGACACCAAGGAACTGATACCAAAAACTTAGAGCCTGCGTACAGAATATACTGAGGTATGTGCATTCTTGCTTAGCAATAAAAAGCAAAACCACGTTTTCAAAGGCTGGCTGAAAATGGCTGCACTTTGTATAAATTCTTGTRTTTTATTCTTTGGTGTGAACATGATCTCTATGATTCTCTACAGATTTCTGCATAATCATGTAGTAAAGGACAAAAATACYGTCTGTCTTAACTCTTTTACAGTTCAGCAAACTTATTTCAAGGCACATAAATGTGTGCAAAACAGCACAGAATTATGGATAAATCTAGTATTTTTACCTGGTAATAGCAATCTTTTTTAGAGGAACTGTTTTAATGTTACAAAGTCCTGACTTGGAGGTTTCAGCTGGAAGCACAGATGAGTTTTCTTGTCGTGGCAGCAGTCAGTCACATTAGCACTGATTTCCAGTGCCAAAGCATCTCTGTCACCATTTCCCACAGTGACAAAGTTGTTAGACAAAAATACATCCTAGGAAGCTATTATAGGAGAATTTTAATGCTGAAAATACAAAGCATCACAGACAGTTGTTTCAACTATTATTTATTTTAGCCTTTGGATCGATGGTTTCTTGTATCAAGGAAGGCTGGTGGTGACATTATTTATACATGTGCATAAAGAGGAAGTCTAGATGGCTAACAGACTTATTTGTACTTAGAATCTAAATAGTTGTTGTTTGCTGAGCATGGTGGAGGGTCAGAGAAAGAGCCCGTGCCCAAGGGAGTCGTGGAATAGCTGAAAAAGAATAGAGCCCCTTGGCAGTTGTCCAGACTCAGCACTAAGTAAATAATGGGTCTGTGCTAAATGAGACACCCTAAAAAGCACCTTAAAAAAGTGGATTTCAAAGGGTTGAAGGAGGAGAGCTGCCATGGCCGAACTGGTTGGTTGTGGTTGCTGTTGAGGCACTTGGAAAGCAGCGCCGTGCCCCCGTGGGGCGCGCAGGAATGCGAGGCCAACACTGGCCCTCTGTGCGGGCGTGTGCGGGGCTCGCATTCCACCCAAGATGGATTCCACTAGAAATGTGGCATGGAGGCAGTGGCAGCTCCGAGGCAGGGCGGGAAAGGGCGTTACAGGATAATACGGACCATTGTGTAAGGAGAGGTGGGATAGGGACAAAGAAACAGCTGTTCTGGGGTGGCCTCCGCTTCACCCTTGGAGCAGCTTCTCCCCASTCTTGGAAGCCTGGCGGTAAATTTAGAGCCCGTGGGAGGCCCGTGGGGGTAAATAAAAATAGAAGTACTGGAATGCACAGAAATATTTTCTCCTCTAAGGGGCAGCAAGTGCATTTGCCATTATCCCCTCCGCCTCTGCCCCATGAAGATTTGATCACTGAAATGCAATCAAAAGCAGCTTCGATGTTGTACTTTCAAGATTTTTTTTTGAGGTAGAATATGCCAGACAAAGCTRTTATTGTATCTAGCTTAGTTTTAATTATTTTAAGATAAAAAAGGTGACCAAAAGAAACTGCAGTGCAGATGTTTTAGGCAGCATTCTTCATGCACCAAGGTAGCGTGATTACAAATTGGTTCCTCTCCAATCYAAGCAGGTGTAAGGAGTATAAGGAAGCTTGTCTTAAAAGGCTTGTGTGTCTGAGCCTCCTAGAGGCTAGTCTGCCACCACCTTCAGTGGGTACCGAGTGCTCTTTTGTTTCCTGCCTGAGAGGATCTGCAACTACATTAGTTGCTTAAGCTTCTGTGAGTGTTGTTTATGAWTTTTTTCTTTCCTACTAAAGTTTGGATTGTGAACGCTTATGTCAAAGCTTAACATTAGGCATTAACTTACTAAACTTAAGCTGTGCTTGTGTGATTAATAGAGCAGCCCAGAGCCTTAGAGTGGTTAATAGAGAGACCAGAGCCCAGAGGGACTAGGTAACAGGCCAGGGCCTGCCTGCCTGCCTGCAGGACTGAAGTCCATGTGTGGAAAAGCATTTCTCATCTTTTGCATTTTGCTTCAGGTTTGTTTGTGAACTCTTGCCCTTCTCCCGTGTTACCTGTATGAAGCCCTTGCTCCTGCCTTTCGTCCCAGTGTGCAGGGAGGTTGGATGCAAGGGCCAGGGAAGGTGGGCAGGGAATTGGGCTGGGATCAGCRCTGGGGAGGCAGCAGTGCCACAGTCTAACCCGCAGAGCAGCCTGTGCAGACGCCGCTGAGGGAGCCAGATGGGCTGAGACAGCACTGGTGCCTACTGACATGAATGGGGGAAGTTGAGCCCTGGCACAGGCTGCCCAGGGAGGCTGTGGAGTCTCCTTCTCTGGAGATCTTCCAAACCCGCCTGGATGCYGCCCTGTGCCCCATGCTCTGGGTGTCCCTGCTGGAGCAGGGGGGTTGGACTAGATCTCTAGGGGTCCCTTCCAACCTCAACCATTCTGTGAATCTGTGAGTTGTGAGAAGATTCATGCGTTTCTTTTGGGGTTTGAGCTCCATCCACCCATTCATGTATAACCTTTTAATTATATAATACACTCAGCACCATGAAGACTTTGAAACAAATAGCTCAGTCAGTGCTAGCCTGACTRGTAAATGATGTGCTGAAAGCAAATCCTAACTGTGATCTTTGATTTCCTAGTTTTCAGGGAGTGGTACTGCTTTGTGATACACGGCTTTGTAAAAACTGCACTGCAAGGCCCAGGCTTGTAAAAATTTGTTATCTTATGGTGGTTGTAACAACAATTTTTGTCTTAATCTTTTGCTTTATATCTGTTTTGTTTATGTATTCATTAAATGGTTTAAGTCACAAAACTGGTGTACTAATGACTTAATTTGTTAATACATTAACAGAACCTGAAATACATTTTTTGTTTATGGTACTTATGGGATATAACATCCTTGAAAGAGGCCCAGTGTCTTTCCTCACACTTCAGTTAAATCAATTTATGTGACAAAAATGAATGAAACGGGCTTTCTCTGACAAGCATATTAATTTTTAAATGTACAAAAGTAGGCAAGCTGGTGTTCTCCCTTTACAATAGCGTGAGCTCAGTCTGGCCTTTTTTCCTGCGGGGTGATAATGAATGAGTGACCTAAAAATGCATAAGTAGGTCTGAAGTGTCAGCTTCATTAAGTGTCATTTAATTTGTAAGATAGGCCTCAAGCCACTTCGGGTTGGTCTGCTTAAAATAAGAAACCTGTACAAACCAAGTGGGTATCCACAGGTAAGTGGCACACAGCACCAGAGATGTGAACTTAATATGTTTGTTTAACATTTAAAACGACTATAAYCACATACATGGTATTCATACTTAACGTTTAACACATTTAATGCACTGAAACAAATCATCGCTTGCATTTTTTAAGAAATGACTGCCTGGAACAATTGTTATAAATTGTAGGAAGAGTTTGGAACTCGAGCACGTTTAACTGTTATGCAAGAGATGCTCGGAAGAGCAAGCACTAACTTTTGCACAGTATCAGCTGTGCGTTGTGTCCAGGTGGAGTGCAGACCCACG